GCCCATGGTTGGTTATTTTTTCATCCACTTTTCTTTCTTCTTATCCATTGGTTCTAATAACTTCCCCTGTACATTCCTTGGCATTACTGTCTGTTAGATCTAATTAATATTGTGTTAAAACACAGAAAAACGAGCCCTTAGGTATACACTTCTTTCCCTTATATATATATATATATATATATATATATATATATATATATATATATATATATAAACATTATATATATCAACATGTAGTAATTTCAGTTGTCACCATGTCACCATGTAATTCAGTTAGACTAGCCACCGATCACATTACCAGCGGCTACCTATAGCAGCTGGAGAGATGGACTCATGTGAGTATAGGAGGGTTGCACAGGGGCGTGGCCCACGAGTTGGCGCCAGCGTCGAAGAGGCAGCGCATCCATCTTTGTGGTCTCCCTCCCTGCCGCCGCGGGCAAGCAGTCGCAGAATATACTAGTACGTGGTACACTCACGGCTGCGCGCCTGTGCAAGATTCCTGTGCTCCTAATGGTGAACTGCGCCTTATTTGGTTCCTACAATCACTCGAGTAAGAAAGCTGGTCATGACAATGCGTCTGATGTCGGCTTTTTTTTTCATGCCTAAAATGATTGTAAACCAATCGAAAAGGTTTGAATGGTTCAGCCACACACTATGCCGCGTGTGCGTTAAACATTTCAGTTAATTTCCGGTAAGTGTGCAGAACCTATGCAACATCATAGAGGCTCGATTTTGTAGTGAAAAACTTGGGTTTTCGCGACGTGCGCTATGAAGCTTTGTTTACGCAGCAGGAGACGAGCGCGCGCACTACGACCGCGATCGCTGCTTATCAGCGGTATCATTCAGGTAGGTGCGACGTGTTACTGATTCATCTGTGTTAGTAAACAGTCAGCGACGCAGTGCGTTCTCGTTTACCCATGCTTTAAAGAGCTGAGCACATTAACGTCGATCAGTTACAATCGAGACTGTATGTGATTTCTGGGTGCGCAACTGCCCAACGCGCGTGATTGGACCCTGCAGCAAAGAGCATTTTTGATCGCAAGCGGCTTGGGCTCAACCACGAACGAACTATGCCAATTGTATCACCTCGCATGTTCTTGCAAATGTTGAATCCCTTCCACACAAATAATTCGTGAAGCGACACCACCACGGTGAAAAAAAAAAAAATTTGTCCGAACAGTGAGCAAGAGGAACCATTCTTGTTTCCGACGACGACGTGGCGGCCGTCTCCGAGGTCTCTAACTCGATGCTGTTGGACTCATCCGCTAGTGACATAGTTGTGGGCGTCCATCAATTTACAGGCTTTAAGCTCGTCCCTTGTTGCAAAGCTTGTGCCGCCAACAAGGTGGTCCTTGATGTCCGTGAGCTTGATGCGGGAATAACACTTCACATCCCACACAGCTTCATCGCTGCTGAAGTCGAACGGGTCGCTATCCCGCAAATGTGAACCTTATGCTCGTAGCGAAGTTTCGCCGGACTTCGGAAGACACGCGCGTAAGCACTCAGTCGAATTTCAACACGTTGGTACCATACGTAGCGGCACGCACACAACCTCTCACTGTCGCTCGCCGCTTCAAAAAGGGTGCGCTTAGACCACTGACATGGCGGTAGAGGCAAACGCCGCTAGCGCCTCAAGCGGATGACGTCACGTGCAACCCTCCTATAATAAAGTATGTTCGCTTGCAGCATAACAGCGTTTAACAGTTTGTGCGCGTAAGCGTCTCTGGGAGCTTATCCTTGTTGAGGAAGGGAGGACGAGATAGAAATAAGCAGCGCTGCACGTCTGTGCTTCTTTATTGTGTGAGTTGTATTGTGAGCTATAAAGTGCATTTCAAGTTGAATATGAACAAACTAGCCCGACTCTTAATGAAGCCTTCTTGGTGCTAAAACCGTGGTTGGTTTTTTACTTTCTTCCTGGTCTGGCGGGTCAAGTTGCGGGGCAAGCTTAGCGTCCAACTGAGCTCAAGTTCACTGCTTTATTCGTAGCCACTTTGCAAGATGCCGCCATCGCTCCAAGTTGCCATAAGCAAGGCTGATCAGATTTATCGGAGGCTAAAGCGGAAACATTCCTTGGCGCTTCCAGTACGGAAAAACTAAAAGATTTAGAAAGAATCATCGCTATCATCGTCTCACAGCAGCTTCATCAGAGCAGTAGTTGTGCTAATCTTTTTCGATGGAAGAAAATGATTTGCCCGAAGCAACAAATATGTGACTGGTTCATGAAAAGTTTGTTTGTTCTCATCCATAACTGCATCGGTCAGTCGCAGTAGAATAGAAACATGAACAAGTTAAGCAATATTATAGAGCCCCTGTTCAGTGCTGGGATGCTCTGCAGTGCTACAGCACAGGGCGGAATGCATCACAAAGAGCCTTCAAGGAAAATTGTCACTGCTGAAATGTTAGAAAGCTGTAACATTTCCTTGTAATATTTTCTTTCCTCGTAACAGTATAACTGAGTGATTACTGTGGTGAAGGAAAATTTCGCCTTAAGCGCGAGATAGATGTGCGATTTTCCGTGCGATGCCGCGTGCGGCGTCGCATGGTGCGGCGTGCCACATGCGACGTTTCGGGACACATGGGGGCAAAGAAGCTATCAGCGGCAGGCTCCACCCCCGTGCGGAGCCTCGGCATGCAGGGTCGAACGACTTGGTATCCTCGTAATGAATCTCAAAACAAACACGATTACACAGCCACACGTCGTTCCACACACAAAAAAATAATTAATAAATTGCATTCGTGAACGACAAGCACGTCGTAACCACGGCAACAGCTGATTATTCACGACACCGACAGGTAGGCCTAGCATCGCGGGCGCCGGCCGTCACCTACGCCGTTCACACGTGAACTCGTCATTGAGCGCTTGTTTTTGACAACACTATCAATCATTGCGCTCGTATGTAATGCGTTAGCATACCTTATTACCTTATCGATGCCATCGATGTGAATAGCAAAGGTGGAAGCGAAGCGAGCCAGCGCAGAGATGCCGGTAGCTGTGTTTACCTGCGAAATGACCTTGCATCGCTGCTCACGATCTCTGATCCCGCTAGCGGTTTCAAAAGGGGCGTTGTCGTGCAGTTTTAAAAGGCACACTTCAAACATCACTTTATTCAATCCGGAATAATATCACGTCACCAGGGAAACGTACTCGATGTTTGTCACGCCGCCGCAGTCGGCGATGTCAGCAAATCCACGCTCGCACCGCTCCATCCAATGGCGGAGTCGGTGCAGCCGACCGACTTCGCGAGCGAGCACTCGACTCTGGCGTAGAGCAAATCCTCCAAAGCCGCCATCGGAACACAACCCGCCCTGCTGGAGCAAGGCGGAAGCTGCCGCGTTACCCAGGATACCTTGCGCGTGGTCTCTTCCGCTGTCTGTTTCCCACGTGGTTTACTAGCATCGCCGCATCGTTCGTTTGCTTGTTCAGCGCTGTTCACCTGTGTATAATGGATATCACGCCAAGCGTGCAACAGCTATTGTCCACGATGTCTGCGGCCCCGCCGCGGTGGTCTAGTGGCTAAGGTACTCGGCTGCTGACCCGCAGGGCGCGGGCTCGAATCCCGGCTGCGGCGGCTGCATTTCCGATGGAGGCGGAAATGTTGTAGGCCCGTGTGCTCAGATTTGGGTGCACGTTAAAGAACCCCAGGTGGTCGAAATTTCCGGAGCCCTCCACTACGGCGTCTCTCATAATCATATGGTGGCTTTGGGACGTTAAACCCCACATATCACATCATCACGATGTCTGCGATGGTGACCACACAATATGCGGAGCATCATGGTAAGTGTCTCCTCAATTTCAACACTGTGCTGTAATTGTAAGTTGAATGCAACACACGTGTTGCGTGGAGCGATTGTCTGCACGCGCTAGGTTCATGCTGCAACGTTGCTCTACTGCTGATGCGATCGTGTCACTGAAATCCATCGCATGCGTCATACCGTTGTTCGTTTGCCTGTGTCCGTGGAGAACGAAAACCTTCGCCGCATTAATTGCACAAACACCGCTGTAAATATACAGCCAAAAGTAAACATGCGCGCCACGCCGCTGTTCTTGCACGGAACGGCGTCATTAGCAAGAAGCGACTTCCTATCACTTTAGAATGTAGCCACACGAATAGAAACGAACCGCGTTGGTGACAAGCGTGTTTGGTATAAGGGCAATTTGACCGATCGTCCAAAACAATTTTTTTCTGCCCCCTACTCCGCTCCCGTGGCGAGTCTCCCGATTTCAGAAGTCCCTAGGTTGGCAGGTACGCATTTGCGGCGAGATGCCTCCAAAGTAACGCTTTTACCGTGCAAGCACAACGCAGCGCGAGCGTTTCAGTACTGCACTACTATGTGGCAAATTCCAGTGCACTCGCCTTTCAGTGGAAGCGGTGCAGAAGCAGTTGTTTGCCTTTATATGTCTCGAAGAAACTATAAGCCAGTGTTACGCACCCGAGAATTTGACTCCCAGGAAATTTTAGCTGCAGAGGTAGCAGCGTGAGTGCATGTTCTGCTATCTAATGGGTTGGCAATGTTACCAAGGCCAGGACATAGAGCACATCCAATATAGGAATCGGTCTCAGTCCACAGAAATTACGTTGCTTTTCCTGGAGTGTCACTGCCTGTTTCAGGCCTGAAAGATCGTGCTTCATTTTGATTAACAGTCAGCTGATCAGAAACTCTGTGCATCATGATGAGAGTGTGTAATTCAATCAAGAATGTGCACAATGTGTTGAGCTACTGTTGAAGAACTTGCATGCCACCATGTATGCTTACGTGAAATTGTTATTCAAAATTTTGTGTCGTGATGATATAGCATAGCAAACATAGAGTTACTGTTTTGTGAAGCTGTGTTAGGAAGTCTCACGTGGCTTAGCTTAATTGCATACATAGTTGCATGAAATTCACATGGTGCTTCAATGTACAGCAATTTGTGTCACAGAACACAAATCGTTGGTCGTTATGTCGCTTCATGTATGCCAGCTGTATGAATAACAATGCATTTCGTTTTTCCATTCACAGTGCCGGAACACAGCCAAAAGAGCGAGCAACGCAGTGAGTCCATTTATTTATTTATTTAGAGAATACTGGAGGCCCATTTAGAGGCCCTAGCAGGATAGGATACAAATGCATTCAAGTAATGAATTATACATGATATATACAGTTAGATCAGTGCAAAGAACACCAAGCACTGTAACGACAAAAATCAAAGTAGAAAAATCGATATCAAGACAAACTAAAACAGGTTGGTGCTTATATAAGCCTATAAGCTCTACATTAATACCAACACAGCAGAATACCACAACTCTCTAACACCTGTGTCGGGTGACGTGCAACTGGTAACGTCTGTGCAAATGTCTCAAGCACTTTTTCTTTTCAGGTACAGGCTGTGAGTGGACGGCGGGAGAAACAAAGCTGTTGCTCGACTACTACCAGCAGTATTTTTCCCAAATAGGGCCAATGAAGAAATTTAAAAATAAAAAGGCAATGTTTGCCAAAATAGCGGCCAACATCACAGAGGCTGTCGGGGTCCCTAAAACAGGGGACCAGTGCTGCAGCCGCTACAAAACAGTCATGCGACGAAAAAGAAGTGCTGCAGCACATAACAACAACTCGGGGAATTCTCCTTGCGACATTCCCTTTGAAGACGACATAGCCGAAATACGTTGGCTAGATGACAGCCTTGAGCCAGAAGAGCTCAGGGACAGCTCTGGAATAGTCTCTATTAAAAGACCGCCAAGCCAAGCGTCGACGAGCCGATCGTCGACAAGCCAAGCATCGAGGAGCCAGGAGCTGACAAGCCAAGGTTCAACTAGCCAGGAGTTGACCAGCAAAACGAAGGAACCTGAGCCCAAAAAGCCGAAACTCTCGGCTTCTAGAATGCTGGAAATGAATCACTTCTTTGATGAAATGAGCGAAATTCAGGAAGAAAAAAAAAACGAACTGAACGCGAGAATGAAAGAAGAAAGCGTCATGAAGAGAGGCAAGAACAGATGGAGCGCATTCGGCAAGAAAAAGCAAAACAGCATGAAGGAAAAATGAAGCTTTTGAGCCGCTTTCTTGGCTTAGACAATGAATGATTCCAGTGGCCTAAAATACTATTATGTTGAAATAAAATGTGCAGTGCAAAACATGTGCTTGCGTATATAAAGGGGGCTGCGCATTGGTGCACACACACAGCCTCCCAACTACTGTGGGGAACTAAAGGGCTAGTTCAGACAAAACAGATAATTATGGTGTTATTTCCCACAATCACTTCGCAGGAGCTTAGTCAAGACCTTTGCACGCTTAATTTCGCCAAGCTTGTGCAAAGCTCGCTCCTCATCAGTTTTATCACTGTGGTTATCAGTGCAGTTCTCCCACTGAATAGCATTGGGTGCTCCATCATCATCATTATCATCATCTGGCTCTTCATCACCGTAATCGATGCACAAGTTATGAAGGATACAGCAGCTTATGATAAACTTATTGAGCCAGTGGATAGTGTGCAACTCCAGGTACATGAGCTGCCTGAAGCGCTTCTTGAGTGTGCTGAATGCATTTTCAATGAGCACTCGTGTGCCTGAAAACTTAAAATTGAAGCCTTTTTGTTGCTTATTCATTGCACCGTAATCCCTGTATGGTGTCAACAGGTACTCCCGCAGCGGATATGCTGCGTCCCCTAATATATGATAACGGCCCTGACATACTGAAGCTATGTTCTTTGAAAGAGGCGATAAGCTAAACACATGAGAATCGTGCATTTTCCTGGAGGTTCCAGTGAACGCATCGAGGAAGCGCCTCTTGTGGTCACAGACAGCTTCCAGCGTTAGTGAAAGGTAATGGTGCCTGTTGCAGTATGTGGAGGCAACCTTGTTGGCTGGGCACTGTATCTTGACATACGATCCATCTATACAGCCAATAACAGCAGGCATTCCAGACACCTGCAAGCAAGTTGTACTCTTCTAATGAGTGATATCATCCATGCCTGAGCAAGAAATGAGAATTTGCGAGGAGTTTTAACAGGAAATACTGGTGCTCAAGCCCATTAACTCACAATCACAGCATACGCTTCATGACTCAACACAATATATTTTATGTTAAAGATGCAAAATGCAAACCAAATTCAACTTTTAGAACTAGTTAAGATAACATACATTGCTGTCCACACCATATACTACACGTTTTCTTGCTATCCAACTCACTTTTTACAGTGGTAAAATGGGAGAGAAAACAAAACAAAGCCTGCGTATGTTTTTTCCTAAAGGGAGTTGAAGTACGTAATTGCCATTTAATTCTTACATTTAAAACCAAACCTCGTTCATATTGTATCGTACATCTGAACAGAAATGACAAAGCATGCAGCATCATCCGCATGCAAGGAATTGACTGTGACTGCAGGAGAGACATAAGTTGAATGTTTCGAACACAACTGGATGAAGCTCGGTATTATCATCACGACCTATCAATTTTTCTTAAAGTCCCACCTCAGCGTAAAATTGAGCTTGAAATAACCCACAATAAAATGTGCACTCGTGTTTGTGATATGATCAATATAGCTTGGCCGGCCAATATTAGTGGTCCTCACGATAAATAAAATCAAAACAAACCTTCTCAAAACTGCTAGTGAGGTTCTCCAAGTCTGCGGGAAACTTGATCACCGATGGTCCGAGCGTCATCAGGAACTGCACTACTCTCTGAAGAACTGTGTACACGGTGCTTTCTGACATGTCGAAACAGCTTGCCACGTCTCGCATGCAGGTTTTGTTGGCCGCGTACCTGCGCAGGGGGATTACAGGTACCCGAAAGAAAGAAAAAACAGCTTCAGATCGCACTGCACTGTAAGCAACGGGCTCATAGTCAAATGCGTTCTTGTTCAGGCATCGTACAAAGAAAAAAAAAGGGGGTGAAGGTGGGGAGGTGTAACTAACCAGATAGATGTCAAGACATGCGTTTCCGCGGATTTCGCTTGAACTCCTCCGTGTGTGCTCGAAGGGCACATTGACGAGACAGCAAACTCCGCGACCAACTTTTCGGCCACAGGTCGAGCCAGCCTAAAGTGCCTCCGGAACTGCTCATTGATTGATATGTGGGGTTTAACGTCCCAAAACCACTATATGATTATGAGAGACGCCGTAGTAAAGGGCTCCGGAAATTTCGACCACCTGGGGTTCTTTAACGTGCACCCAAAGCTGAGCACATGGGCCTGCAACTATTCCGCCTCCATCGGAAATGCAGCCGCCGCAGCCGGGATTTGAACCCGCGCCCTGCGGGTCAGCAGCCGAGTACCTTAGCCACTAGACCACCGCGGCGGGGCTCCGGAACTGCTCAAGAAAAGAAACAAACGAAAACACCACAACGTGTTGAACCTTGAGCATAATGCTTTCCTTCTTTTTTTCTATTTCTTTACCTCGTGGTCCGAGTATTGCCGAACGACGTCCTCGATGAAACCGACGACTTTGGGCCTCTTCGCGGGAATGCGGAACAATTTGTTGAATTCCCGCTCGTAAGCGCAAGCTTTAGCGTCGCTGTCACTGTCCCACGAATCACTCTTGTCGGTACTTGAGCTTTCCGACTCAGAGCTGTCGCTATCGAGTAGCAGAAGCATTGCCGCACGCTTTGCCGAGGTAGCCGAGCCGTCCATGCCGTCCGCCATTATCAACACAACTCACGCCGCGCCCGCCGCGCCCCCAAGCAGGCGAACGTGTTAAAGGAAATGCGTCACGCTGAGTTCCGGTCCACTCCACCGATTTCGGCGGAGCAGTTTTTCCTGCTCCACGGAGGGACTCCCGCTCTGAATCCCCTCCCGCTCTCTCATTGGAACTTTTGACTCTCGCTCTGTCATTGGAACACACTTGCTCTGAAAGGAGCAGAAAAACTTGCTCCGACTCCGCCATTGGAATTCAACAATAGACTCGCCTGGAGCAACGCCTCCTGCCTGGAGCCTTGGACCACGGGTGATAAGAGCGACAGGGAGATGGCGCCACTAGCATCGTGACGCCACTCGTATGCTCGCGCTGTGATTGGCTGCTGCCATGCGGCGGTGCGATGCTGGCCGCACCGGCTATGCGGCGGTGCGACGCGAAGATACGTCACGACACGTCACCACTCCGGCAGTCGCATCGTCGCACCGCACGCCGAATCGCACGTCTGTCTCGTGCTGAGACTGCCGAAGTGGTGACGTACCCAGCACTAAAACTCCCTAATAGGGAGTTTTAGTGCTGGGTACGCTTTTTCTTGGGGCGTTGCGGGCTTGGGAGCGCGCGGCGTTGCGTGCCCAACCCATACCCAACCGGAATGCCTTTTAGTTGGCGCCACGGTGGCACGCACGCAAACGCAAGCCGCACGAAGTTCACACGCGCTCGCAGCACTATAGCGTCTTGTCGCGTAAGGATTATTTAATTATTTTTAGGATTCAAAATGTTAAATTAAACATATAAAGTGATCAGGACACTTTTTTTATTGTGTACAGTAATCTGGTACATGCCAAAAATGAAAAATACAAGGTCACTGTAACGACTTGTGTCGACATCTTGTGACACTTCGTGCAACCACAGTCATGAACATGTTAGCTTACGCGTAATATTTTTGATGTGAAAATGGATAAAAAGGTTACTTATTTGTAATATTGTCGCTGCGCAGTTTTTGCACCAGATGTACAATGTACAATGTTTCTGCAGTGACAAAGTTGTGGTTGTCTGTTTCATCATGGATGGATGGATGGATATGGCTGTACCCTTTAGATCGGGCGGTGGCTAGCGCCACCAAGCCGTAATACTTAATGAACCCAAAACTATATTTATTTTTTTCCTTAAAAAGTGAGTTTGAGGATTCGTACTTTGCAGTGAAGAGTTTAATTTTCACTCGTGCCTTGACTTTAGCCACCAATCAGATAACATTCTTCTAGTTAAGTCTACTTGCTTAAAGTCTATTTTGCCCTCCCGGTCCCTAAACCCCATTGCTTTGGAAAACTCTGCGCCATCATCCTGAACTATAGGGTGAAGCCCTTTACAGAACATTATCAAGTGTTCGGCAGTTTCTTCTTCCTCTCCACACGCACTGCATACTGTGTCTACCCCTTCGTATTTGGCCCGATATGTCTTGGTTCGCAGTACTCCCGTCCTTGCCTCAAACAGTAGAGAACTACCCCGAGTATTATCATAGATCCTTTCCTTGGCAATTTCCTGTTTAAAAGTTCGATAGATCTCTAGTGCGGACTTCTTAATCATGCCCATTTTCCACATGTCAGTCTCCGTTTCCTTCACTTTCTTCTTAACCGATAGTTCTTTTTGGTTTGGCCACCTGCTGTTTTCTGAGTATTTACCAGTCAACTTCCTGGTTCGTTTCCTCCATTTTGTATCGACATTCTTCATGTACAAGTAGCTGAAAACCTTCCTAGCCCGACGCTCCTCCTTCATTTCTCTCAATCGCTTCTCAAATTTTATCTTGTTGCTAGCTTCACTGCCCTCAAATGATGTCCATCCCATATCACCTTGTACTCCCTGATTTGGTGTATTCCCGTGAGCTCCTAAAGCAAGCCTACCTATTACACGTTGCTTAATTTCTAATCTTGCTTGAACTTCTGATCTCATGCACAAGACCGCATTGCCGAACGTCAGCCCAGGAACAATGACCCCTTTCCATATTCCTCTCACAACATTATACCTATTGTAATTCCACAGTGCCCTATTTTTCATCACAGCTGCATTCCTGTTACCTTTAGTCGTCATGTATATTTCGTGTTCCCTCAGGTACTCGGTCCCATTGCTTATCCATACGCCCAGATATTTGTATTTATCTGTTATCTCAAGCGTGACCTCCTGTATCCTAAGCTCACTACCTTCGTTGTCATTGAAAATCATGACTGCTGATTTTTCCTTACTGAATCTAAAATCTAACCTATCTCCCTCATTACCGTAGATGTCCATCAATCTCTGCAAATCTTCCTTGTTGTTGGCCATTAGCACTATATCATCTGCGTACATTAATGCTGGTAGTGCCTGATCAATAAGTTTTCCTTGTTTGACTAAAGAGAGGTTGAAGCCCAGCCCACTTCCTTCTAATTTTGCCTCTAATCCTTGTAGGTACATCATGAATAATAAGGGTGACAGGGGGCACCCCTGCCTAAGCCCCTGTTTTACCTCTGCAGGCTTGGATACCTGTTTTTCCCACTTTATAACTACCTTGTTACCTTTATAGATACCCCTTAAAAGATTAGTGACTACATGTTCCACGCCTAGTGTGTCCAGTATTCCCCACAATTCCTTTTGAACCACGCTATCGTACGCTCCCTTGATATCCAAGAATGCTAGCCACAGGGGCCTGTGTTCCTTTTCTGCTATTTCGATGCACTGCGTCAGTGAGAACAGATTGTCTTCCAACCTCCTGTGTTTCCGAAACCCATTCTGCAGTTCCCCCAGCACCCCCTCATCTTCTATCCATGCCTGCAGTCTTTCCTTTATAATCTGCATCGCCAGCCTGTAGACCACTGATGTCATCATCATCATTTATTTTACCCTTAAGGGCCTCTCTCGGGGCATTACATAAGGGGGGGGGAACAATCCAAGTACAAATTACAATGAAAATGCAGTTCATGGTTACAGTTTTTGAATTACTAAAACATACAGGTAGCAACAAAAAACAAAAAGAAAACAGAGCATGTCAAACGAAATATTCAACAGTCAATTAGCGGTCAAAAAAATACAGGCGGCAGAGAACAAACAACAAAGAAAGACAAACAGCGATTAAGAGTCAAGGGTAGCTAGTAATAAATCTCTAAATTTAACAGCAACTTGTTCGCTGACAATAGCATCCGTCAAACCGTTCCACTCATCGATAGCCGTAGGAAGAAATGATTTATTAAAAGCGTTAGTATAACCAAACAGACGTTGGATACTCAGGGAATTAAATAGGCGACGAGATGTTCGGACAGGCGGAAGTAAAAGTGAACCATGTAGGTGAGGAAAGCTGTAGTAAAGTTTGTGAAAAAGACAGAGACGTGAAATTTTGCGTCGAGCTGACAAAACAGGGAGACCGAGGGATGATTTGATTTGACTGATGCTTGCTCGTTTGTCGTAATTTGCGGAGATGAATCTGGCGGCACGATTATGGACGGATTCAAGAATGTTAATTAGGTATATCTGATGAGGGCTCCAAATTGCAGATGCGTATTCTATTTTAGTACGAACAAAAGTTTCAAAGGCCAATTTGCGAAGGCTTGCAGGTGATAATGACAATGATCTCCTAAGATAGCCAAGAGTTTTTGAGGCATCGGCAGCTAGTTTGGTAATATGCTCGGTCCAGGTTAGTCTGCTTGTAATTACAACGCCCAGGTATCGGTAAGAATCCACTTGGGATAACACTGTTGAGTTTAATGAATACGGATGGATGACGTTAGTGTGTTTTCGTGAGACAGGCATGAACTTACATTTGGAAGTATTCGGACTCATCATCCACTGAGCGCACCAGTTATCAATGATGTGTAAATCTTGCTGTAGTATTAGCTGATCTTCGGGAGTTGATATGCGACGGTAGATGACGCAATCGTCAGCAAAAAGCCGAACCGTTGATGAAATGCCGGAAGGAAGGTCATTTACGTAGATTAAAAAGAGGAGCGGGCTGAGAACCGAGCTCTGAGGGACGCCAGAGATTACTGGAGTAGTATCAGAATGGGCACCACCGATAACAGTGAATTGCGACCGGTGGGTTAGGAAGCACTTAATCCATGATAAAGTCAGGGGATCGAGGGAAAGTGAAGAAAGTTTGTTGATTAGTCGTTGGTGAGGGACGAGATCGAAGGCCTTTGAAAAGTCGACAAAAATAACATCAGTCTGAAATGACGAATCAAGGTTGAGATGAAGATCAGTCGTAAATTCAAAAAGTTGAGTTTCGCATGAGAGCCCTGAACGAAAACCATGCTGCTTATGAAAAAAGAAAGAGTGATCATCGAGGTGACGAGCAACATGTGAATATATTATATGTTCCATAAGTTTGCAAGTGATGCACGTTAGTGAAATGGGGCGATAGTTAGATGGGTCAGATCGCTTGCCAGACTTAAAAACTGGTACAACCTTCCCAAGTTTCCAATCATCTGGGATGAAACCTTCAGAAATGGACTGTTTAAAAATTATCTCCAAAAATTTACTAGAAATGCTATTAGTAGCCTTTAAAACTTTGGCAGGAATATTGTCAGGTCCGGGGGAGCTGGATATTTTTAATTTCTTTATCAGACTGCTGATGCCTTCGGAGGTAATGTCAATGGGCGGTATTTGTGAAAAATTAGATCTCGGCATGACTGGAATACTATGAAGTGGTTCAGAAGTGAAGACTGAAGTGAAGTAAGTATTCATAACGTCCGCCCGCTGTGGGAGAGGAATGTGAGAACCATCGGAGTTGGTTAAGGATATATTGTGCGTGTTATTTTTAGGGTTGAGAAGTTTCCAAAACTTCTTTGGATTAGTTCGGGCAATGTTAAGCAAGTCATTATGAAAAAATTTCTTTTTGGAGCGCTTCAGCAAGTGAGTGTATTCACGAAGGCATGCGAAATATCTGTTCCATTTTGTTATTGACTCAAAGTTTTTAGCAGCGCGAAAAAGACGTTTTTTCTTTTGAGATAGTTTCTTTAGGAGATTAGAATACCAGAGTCGCTGAGCATCACCTGGAACACGAATAAGGGGGACGTGGTTATGGATAAGGGTTAATAATTTCCGCTTGAACAATAACCAGTTTTGGTCAACTGTTCGGGTAGAAGCAGACAAGGTGAAGGAGACCAAAAATTTATTAAGTTCAGAGTTAATCGTCGAGAAGTTGGCGTTGTTAAAGTCGCGTATTAATTTTTTCGAAGGTCTTCGCGAAGGTAAGGCAATGGACAATGAAAACAATACAACATTATGGTCACTCAGACCGGGAATGCATGAAACCGGGATGTCAGATCAAAAAGAACATTTTGAAGGTCATCTGTGAAAGAGTGGTCGCAGTCGGGTGCGCGGTAACAGGCTATAAGAATGTTTTTGCACGTGGGAAGGATTATTTCAACGCAAAGAATTTCAAAATTCGTACTGATTGTCACAGTTTGGGAGGGTAGGCTGTCTTTCACGAAAACTAAAATACCACCCCCTCTGCGTCTGTTCCTATCAAGTCTGTAAGACGTGAAATGGGTGTTGCTGTGACGTAATTCATTGTCGTGAATATCAGGGGTTAGCCATGACTCAGTTAGGATTGCGATGTCGGTGCTGGTGTCCTCAAGGAGAGTTTGCACAGCTTCCTTTTTGGGCATATAGCTACGGATATTCGTAAGCAGGATAGATGTAGTTTGATAAACTGGAGGAGCGATTCTAGTTGGGACGGACTCGAAAGGAGGGGAGGACGGAACCCTGGAAGCACACAGTGAACGCTATGCTTTCAGTTCTATAACTCTGTCCGATTCAGCATCATAAACGAAAGGCTTTTTGTCAACGATAAGCTTGTCGAAACGGATTTTGAAGGGCACGAATTTGCTTTCCTGCGCATACAAGAAAAGCTTCTTCCTTGCCAATCTTACACGCGCTGAATAATCCTCGCGTACAGAGAATAACGAGTCCTTCAGTTTCGGGCCAGCGGAAAGTATTCTAGCCTTATCCTTAAATCTGGACAGGGTGACTATAATCGGGCGGTTTTTATTGGCTTGAAAGCGGCCTAGTCTGTGTGCTCTTTCAATATCTATGGAAGTAATTAGAACTTCAAGTTTTTCGGTGCAAAACGAGATTATACGCGATTCTGATTCGGCCCATGTTTTGTTAATGACGTCGGGTATTTCAAAAAATAGCAGGTTGCACTGGCGGAGGCGATTCTCTGAGTCATCGCATTTTTCGGCTAGCGTTTTAATGCTGGAAGAAAGGTTAGATAGGGTATTACCATTCTCGGTAGTGGGATCAGTGGCACGGGCTGCGTTAATTTGCTCAAGATTGATTGATTGATTTGTGGGGTTTAACGTCCCAAAACCACCATATGATTATGAGAGACGCCGTAGTGGAGAGCTCCGGAAATTTTGACCACCTGGGGTTCTTTAACGTGCACCCAAATCTGAGCACACGGGCCTCGACATTTCTGCCTCCATCGGAAATGCAGCCAATGCAGCCGCCGCAGCCGGGATTTGAACCCGCGACCTGCGGGTCAGCAGCCGAGTACCTTAGCCACTAGACCACCGCGGCGGGGCTAATTTGCTCAAGAGCGTCAACACGGGAGGAGAGGCGATCGACCAAGCCTTCCATGTTTGATTGTGTTGCTCGGATAAGGGCCAATTCAGAGAGCACTGTGTCTTGCGATTTTTCAACGCGAGCGATGGCTTCAGCAATACTTTCAAGTGTGGGGGAAGGACCAGGGTTAGATTCAATGTCTCCCGCGAGCATGAGCAAAAGGCAAACTAAATGGGCATTCACGGCGAAAGAACACAATGATTGATACAATAATCTACGCCACCTACGCCAGCAATCGAGGATGTCAGGGGGGCACGACACCGCAAGTAGAAAGGAATCACTTGATCGAAAGGAATTAGCGTGTTGCAAGTAACTGACCTGCATTAGGAAGGGCATTTTCATGATCGCGTTCGATGCGGTGGCATGCCCCAACTGGCCTCCGGGCGAAGGCGGCTTTTGTAGGGATGCGGCGCTAGTAGATGTCCGAGGTTGCCAGGCGATGAAGTGGTCGGCGACTGAAGGTGGCGGATCCGGCTCGGCTTGACATTCATCGTTCTCGTCGGTGAACAGAAGTGGCGGCTTGTTGGTGAGGTAAGCAGGAGGTAATCCGGGAGGACTTACGGGCAGCCGGAAAACGCAGGATGTAGTCGAGATGAACCCGAGTAGAACAACCTGCATTAGGAAGGGCATTTTCATGATCGCGTTCGATGCGGTGGCATGCCCCAACTGGCCTCCGGGCGAAGGCGGCTTTTGTAGGGATGCGGCGCTAGTAGATGTCCGAGGTTGCCAGGCGATGAAGTGGTCGGCGACTGAAGGCGGCGGATCCGGTTCGGTTTGACATTCATCGTTCTCGTCGGTGAACAGAAGTGGCGGCTTGTTGGTGAGGTAAGCAGGAGGTAATCCGGGAGGACTTACGGGCAGCCGGAAAACGCAGGATGTAGTCGAGATGAACCCGAGTAGAACAACCTGCATTAGGAAGGGCATTTTCATGATCGCGTTCGATGCGGTGGCATGCCCCCCCCCCCCCCCCCCCCCCCACTGTGGCATGCCCCCCACTGTTATAGGACGGTAGTTGTTTATGTCAGCTTTGTCCCCCTTTCCTTTATAGATCATGCTCATCCTGCTAAGTTTCCATCCATCGGGAACTTCACCATCGATTATTATTTTGCTCACTGCCTCTCTAAAAGCCTGCTTAGACTTCGGACCTAATGTCTTTATCAGCCTAATTGGAATACCATCTGGGCCTGTTGATGTACTACTAGGAACCCTTTTCTCAGCCCTTTCCCACTCTCGTTGTGAAAATGGAGCCATTGCACCACTTGATTCGTCATTGTCTATTGTGGTGCATAAAGTACTTCTTTGTTGAAAATTTTCTGTCACCATTGTTCTTATATATTCAATAGCTTCGTCCCCTTCTAGCCTGGCACCTTGGGCTGTAGTTATAAAACTCTGCTCTAGGCTCGTCTCATTTCTTAGGGAGTTTAGATGGTTCCAAAATTTCGCAGCTGCCTTTCTATCTTTTTTATGTACTTCTGCCAGCCACTGAGCTCCCTTTCTTCTAATCTTTTCATTAATCAGAAGGGATGCAGCCCTTCTACAGCTTAGAAAAGTTTCCCATTTTCTTTCAACATCATCTGTCGGTTCACCCTGCTGCTTAGCATGTCTGTGTTCCCTAGAGGCTTCCTGACGTTTTGATATGGCTCTCTTAACTTCCTCATCCCACCAACTTTTGGGTTTGTGTCTTCTTTTCCGGGGTGACTTGTTACGCGTCTTAGCAAGCTCTAGCTCAAAGAGTCTAATTAGATTCGTGTATGTCCACACTGTCTTAATATCCTCCGTGATTACTTTCTCAATTTGTTTAGTGGCTATTTCAATTTGCCTTTCTGAATAAAAATTTTCCTGTAGTTGCTCATCTTGTCTCCTTCCTACTTTCACTGCTCTTCCAAAACTTAGCTTGATACGTTTGTGATCACTACCCAGACTTCTGGAGCCACCTTCATCTATGTGCATTCCCCTGAGCTTATCATACATCCTATGTGACATCAGTGCATAATCTATCGTCGACTGCAGCCTTCCTACCTCCCATGTTATTTGCCCTTCACACTTCTCGGTACTGTTGCAAATGATCAAATCAAGCCTTTCACACATATCCATGATCATTTTGCCTGTCGGGTCGGTATACCCATCTATATCTTCTATGTGCGCATTCATGTCTCCTAGTATAATTATCTCGCACTCTCTTCCTAACTCCTGAATGTCCTTTGATATACACTCCACCATTGCCGGGTTTTCCTCTCTGGCCTTTGCCCCCGTCCACAAGTACACAAAACCAAGGAGGGTCATTTGACCTGCCACTTTCCCTTTTAGCCATAAATGTTCCTTGCACTCCTGCTTGATCCTTTGCCAGTCTGTACTTTTATGAATGAATGCCCCAATACCACCCCCCTTTCTGCTGCCTTCTGTTCTATTACAATATTCCCACGCGTAGTCCGGATTGTTCGGAGGTTGTTCCATGTCCCTGAGATGTGTTTCTACAAAACCGTATACCATCGGCCTCTCTTCCCTTAGCTGTTCTTCTATCTCTTCCCACTTCAGCCTGTTCCTACCACCCTGCATGTTAATATACCCTATGTCTGAATGGGCTCGGCGCTCGTGGCTACGTCTATTTATGCCCCGGACTCTACCTATCTTAGACATTGGTGCCACTTTGGAGTCGTATCTGTCCATAACACCTGTCGAAGAGTCTCCCTGGTTGTTTTCCTCGTTACTAGCTATCCTGCACCCCGAAGGGCTCGCTTGCCCCCCAAAAAAGCTACTGCGCGTCCTGCAAGTCGCCAACCCACCTCATGACCTAGCCGCCCATCGAAGTGAATTCTGTCTCGTTGAAAACCACCCCACCTATGCACCTCTCTGTTTATTTCCACCACCTCAAACCCTTTCTCTCGACTCATCCGCCATACCTCTTGGTTTGCGTTGACAACCGCTCTTTGCAGGTTGCTATCATGCACCGGTATTTCCGGTATCGTGCATATCAGTACCTGTACCTTAGGAGAAGTGGCGCGCATGTCATCGACGCCTTTCGCCAGTGTGGCTGCTAGTCCTGCTGTATCTTCATTTAAGACATCATTTAAACCACCTGAAATTATCACGAGGTTTCGTCTATCAGCTGTAGTTTTGAGTTTTGCGCTCGCTTGCCTCATGACTGCTTCCAGCTTGCGTCCTGGGAACGCCCCTACTGCAACCCTCTTGTCACCTCTTACCCTCTCTTTGATGGCTTCTGTGCATCGATTTAAATTCGAGTCCCCGGCGATTATCACATGCTGTGACTTTTCAGCTGGAGCGTCCTGCACCTGGGGGCTACTTGCACCTGTGACGCCGGCTGCTTTGTCCCCTCCCAGCCCCACCACTACCTCGCTGAAGCTGGGCCTTGCGACAGTTGAACCGGCTAAACCTGTTTTTTCCAAACTTGCTTGCACTTCCTTCTCCACCGTTCTGGTTGCCGGTTCTCTACTGTTCTCTCCGTAGGCCGCTTCTTTGTTCAGCTTCGCTAGTGCTTCCTCAGTGGACTTCAGTCTTTCTCCCATTGCCCTCGTTTTCTCTTGCTCTGTCGCCAACGCAGTCTCGAGCTCATCGATTCTCACCAGCAGTTCACTTTGGGCAACCATCATTTTCTCCATTTTTTCCTCGACCTCACATTGCCTACACTTCGCGTCAGCCTCTTCTCCATCCGCTTCTACGCTTGGGTCCACTTTCAAACCCACTCCACATCCTGAACACTTTACAGTCTTTTTAACCATGTCTTTCTGACAACAATTGTCCCTATACTCGATAATTACTAAACTCGGGCCGTGCACTACGAAGAAAGTCTAAAAAAAAGAAAGCATCATGGCCGCGTTAGATAGCGCCACCTATTCAGCTGGTCGGGGGCCTGGCATATGTCTTTTAGTTTCTATGTTCCAGGCAATTCTAGCTTTGAAAATCTGACTGAAACCGTGTAAACGCTATAAGTGCTCGCACTTTGGCTTATTTTAACTAGACGGCTAGAGTATCCGCAGCGGATACCGTGAGTTCTTGCGAAGGTGGACCTTACAAGGCGGCCGATCCATGCTGTCCGAGATTTCGCGCCTTTGTGCCGTGCTATTTGTATAGTGGCTAGCCACTATAATATTTGCGCTTAAAACTCAAAAAGTCAAAGTGGTGGCTCTGGCCAGCCTCGGCTTTGCTCGCCGTGAAGGTAACATGATGCGCCAGCATGTGCGCCGTGGCAGCTTATCTCCGCTAGGAGGCCAGTGGTGGCAGCGTTGTTTATGGCCGCGCGGACACATGGCCCCATCGCACCAGCGATCTTGCGACGCATCTAATTGGGGTTTCGCGCATGCACAATACCACCGCCCCATCGTCCTGAATACGCAAGCCGCTTGGGTACCCAGCACTAAAACCGCCGCATGGCAGCAGCCAATCACAGCGCGAGAATACGAGTGGCGTCACGATGCTAGTGGCGCCATCTCCCTGTCGCCGCTCCCATCAGCCGTGGTCCAAGGCTACAGTGTACTAGAATTTAGTACACTGTACCAAGGCTCCGGGTGAGTCGATGGAGTGGTGCGAGCGCAGATTTGCTGACATCGCCGACTGCGGCGGCGTGACAAACATCGAGTACATTTCCCTGGTGACGTGATATTATTCTGGATTGAATAAAGTGATGTTTGAAGTGTGCCTTTTAAAACTGCACGACAACGCCCGTTTTGAAACCGCTAGCGGGATCAGAGATCGTGAGCAGCGATGCAAGGTCATTTCGCAGGTAAACACAGCTACCGGCATCTCTGCGCTGGCTCGCTTCGCTTCCACCGTTGCTATTCACATCGATGGCATCGATAAGGTAATAAGGTATGCTAACGCATTACATACGAGCGCAATGATTGATAGTGTTGTCAAAAACAAGCGCTCAATGACGAGTTCACGTGTGAACGGCGTAGGTGACGGCCGGCGCCCGCGATGCTAGGCCTACCTGTCGGTGTCGTGAATAATCAGCTGTTGCCGTGGTTACGACGTGCTTGTCGTTCACGAATGCAATTTATTAATTATTTTTTTTTGTGTGGAACGACGTGTGGCTGTGTAATCGTGTTTGTTTTGAGATTCATTACGAGGATACCAAGTCGTTCGACCCTGCATGCCGAGGCTCCGCACGGGGGTGGAGCCTGCCGCTGATAGCTTCTTTGCCCCCATGTGTCCCGAAACGTCGCATGCGGCACGCCGCACCATGCGACGCCGCATCGGGGGGGGGGGGGGGGGGGGCTGAGCTTCACTACTTTTTTAGGTGGGGGGGGGGGGCTTGCGCCCCTCTTGCCCCCCCCCCCCACCACTGATATGCCTAAGGTGCATACATTCTGTACGTTATCCGTATTGTAACTCGGGAAAAAAAGACATTTTCATGTGAAGTAAGCTATTTGGAGAAGTATGATTAGAAAGAAGTACTACACTTCTTTTCTAGGGATTGGGTTACTTGATGGACTAGTGCTTGCATAGTTAATGCCTCAACATAATAGTTTTTATCTCCCGTCGTTTATTGACGAAAGACGCAAGCCTTTTTTGTTGTTAATTCTTAAAGAAAAGGCACTTTTCTTTATCTTTCTCTCTACAGCCTCTTTTCTATCCGCTTGATAGCGGGAGTTTGAAGTAAAAGCTTCGTGCCACGTACTTTGTTTGCGTCTCCCCCTCCCGAAAGTAAGTTGTTGAACAACGATTTCAAATCTCGGCTCCAGCAAAACGCTCACAGCTAAAAGGAACAGAGGAGAACCTGCAAATCTCGGGTGCCGCGCAGAGCAGTTAAAAAAAAAAAAAAAACGCCGTCAGGACGGCTGCCGCGTGCAACAAACAAGTTTCGGCGCCGGGGACTCGGTGCCCCCCTGGTGCCCCCATCACACAGTCGTGGGGGGGGGGGGAGCTCCTCGTGGCACCTCATAGGTCCCTCCCCCTAACTTTATCATCTCTCG